CACAGCGCCACTTCCGGTTTTCTGGTGGTTTATTGGAGATAAGAGTCTCACAGACTTTCCTGCCCGGGCTGGCTTTGAACTGCGATCCTTGGCTCTCAGCCTCCTGAGTAGCTAGGATTACAGGCATGAGCCACCGGTGCCCGGCTTTTCTGGATGAATTTTGTAACAGACTCCTGTAGCTCCAAAAAATGCTGACTCTTTCTGACTGACTTTTAGTTCAAGACTTTGGTTGTAGGAGTCTGTTTTCACAAATCCTTCAGATTAACTCTAACATTCTGTAGCACCTAAAACTTGATGTTTACCTTTTTTTAGTTTTTATTCATTTATTTTGCAGTGTTGGGCTTGAACTCAGCTCATTGTCTTTGCTTGGCTTGCTTGCTTGATTGGCAGTCCTTAAACCACTCCTCCAGTCCTACATTTTGCTGATTTTAGGAACCTCAAGGAATTTCCTGTCTGGACTGGCTTTGAACTGTGCCTTGCATTTCAGCCTCTGCAGTTGCTAGGATTACAGGCATGAGCCGCCAGTGCCCAGCTCCTTTAAAAACTTACAGCTGTGTGTTCAAATATGCTTTAGGAATGCTGAGCAAATTTTCCAAGTCATGGAGCAGGAGGCCCAGCGCCCTTTGTGTCATCTCTGAGCTCAGAGTGGCGCTGCCTTCGGACTGCCCATGTCACTTCTGGGAAGCCCCCGCTTCACTGCCCCCCACGGCCCTGCTGGGCAGTATCGTGTCTCCAGCACCGTCGTTTCATGGACAGACACTGGCGATACGGGAGCCTAACTGCATACAGCTGCACATGGCACCACCCCGCCTTTACAAGGGACACCGCGACTGCCACTTGGCAAAATATCTCCTCACGGATTGTGATGGTGGTGGGGTGCTGTTACCAGGGAACAAACCCATGATTTTGCAAGAGTCAGGCAGGTGCATTGCCACTGAGCTAGAACACAGCTGCTCCCCCAGATTTCTTTACCTTATCGGGTAGGGGTCGTGTTTTTGTGATTCAAAGTGTAGACACGATTGTGTTGTTTGCTATAGCCAACATTCAATTATTACAAAACAATTTTAAGTGATAGAGCTCCAGCTCTGAGAAAAAAATCCAGCCAAGAGTTTAGGACCCTGACTTCAAGCCCCAATACCACACACAAAAGTTTAGTGGAACTTTATGGTACTTTATCCACTAAGTTTCGAGTGAATAGCAAGTGTTTACGTTGATAATTCAGTGACAACTTGTAACTTCCATAGGTACAAAAGCAGCTGAGTCCAAAGGAGCATTCTTTCCTAAAGAAGAGTCTCCATCCTCTGAGTCTTCACTAAGGGACTGCTTGTTGAACTTTCACCCTACACTTCAGGACCAGTAGCTCAAACCCAGAAAGGCCTAGGCGCACTTCCCACACTGATGATACCATTTCCTCACATTTTATCTCCTCCCATTTAAAAATAAAGTCAGATTTTCAGCAACTTCTGTTTTGCTTTTCTTTTCTTTTGTTTCTGTGTAGCCAGGGCTAGCCACCAATTCATGATCCTCCTGCTCCACCCTCTGGGTGCACCACACCCGTCCTGCTGCAGCTGTCTCTTTACTCCCCGAGAGCATCCTCTGGGGACACGGCCTGTGTGGAGCTCGGGAAATGGTAAAGTGACCGTCTTTGGACATACTTTCTTAGCTGAACGTAAGACATTGTGGCAGTTACCGTTTTTAAAGGTGCAGTTGTGAAGAAGTAGATAGATATTTAGAGCATCGAGACTTTTCTCTGAATTTTAATTACACTAAAGGACCTCATGATCATTTGTTAGGGACAAAGAGGATTTAGGAGCACAGATCCTGAATGGTGCGCCCTTGGAAACAAGCTGTTCACCTAGGAAACCACATGGCTCCCCTGGGAGCTCTCCAGAGGGACAGGTTAGCCTGGCAGAGAGCGGTGTAAGAACTTTATGTTAATATTGTAGCATACTTTGTTTGTTTGTTAATTTAGTTAGCTAGTTGGTTGGTTGTGGGGCCTGACCTCCGGGCCTGGGCGCTGTCCCTCAGCTCTTCAGCTCAAGGCTAGCGCTCTACCACTTGAGCCACAGCACCACTTCCGGCTTTTTTCTTTCTGCTTATGTGGTGCTGGGAATCAAACCCAGGCAGGGCCTCATGCATGCAAGGCAAGCGCTCCACCACTGAGCCATCTTCCCAGCCCCTGTAGCATACTTTAATAAAGCCAAATGCTAATAAACTGGTTAATCATTTTATATAGTAGCATTGTCTAGGTCTTCTGCGTCAATGTATGTTTGTTTTAAAATGTATCTTATGGACAGTTCCAGAGTAAAGTTCCATCATGAATATTCCTCTTTTAAAAGACCCAACAGCAGGTGAGGTCTTGGCAGGCCCCTGAGTTTGTCAATGTGAAATAAGGCCTTCCTCCATTCTGCAGGGCAAGACCCCGGCTCCAATGCCAGCCGGCTCCACCACTCTACCGCTGCCGCCTACTCACTTCCTGTTTATGTAAATAACTAAGTTTTGTCTTACCAATTGCTGCTGGAGAGCACTGCACGTGGGCATTCCCAACAGTGCCTAAGAGGTGGTTGTTTGTCAGTAGCCCATCCTGGGTGGAGAAAGGAGGCCCACAGGAGAACAGGCTGGCCACCAGCCACCAGCTGAGGCTCCTCCGCCTCCAAGCTGACGGCATTATCAGAAATAGGAACAGCTGCTGTGGTAAAACATCATGCACTGGGAAGTAGAAGATCAATTCCATCTTTGGTAGTTCTTAAATCACATTTAAATCTCTACTTCTTTAAAGTATCTTTTTCAAGCGTAAAGCTAACTTTAAAGCCAGGTGCCTGTGGCTCACACTTGTCATCAGGATTGCAGTTTGAAGCCAGCTTAGGCAGGAAAGTCCATGAGACTCTTATCTCTAATAAACCACCAAAAAACTGCAAGTGGTGTCATGGCTCAAGTGGTAGAGCGCTCACTTTGAGCAGAAATGCTCAGGAATGGTACCCAGGCTCAGAGTTCAAGCCCCACGACCAACCAAAAAAAGAAACACACTTTTGAGATTAAAAAGATAAAGAATTTTTTTTTGAACCAGGGTTTTGCTTTCAGTCAGCATCTCATGACCAGGCTGGCCTCAAAAGTCGATCTTCCTGCCTCAGCCTCCCAAGGAAGTTTCATTACAAAATGTATGGTGGAGGCTGAGCACAGTGGCTCACACTTGTAATCCAGCGTCTTGGTAGGAAAAAATATCAAGATGATCAACAGGATTGCAGTTTGAAGTCAGCCTGGACAAAAATGTAAGGTAACATCATCTCAATCCATAAAGTGGTAGCCTGCACCTACAGTCCCACAGCAGGGAGTGGTGAGGGTGCTGGGCCAGAGCTGGCCCGAGAAAAACATCAGACTCTTATCTGAAAAGCAGCTAAAGCACAGCAGGACTGGAGGTATGGCCTGCGAGGTAGAGTACCTGCCTAGTAAGTATGAAACCTCGAATTGAAAAGCCAATACCAAGCAGGACACTGTTAGCTCACCCCTATACTCCTCGCTGCTCAGGAGGCTGACATCGGGATTGCCCACTGGAAGCCTGGCAGACACAGACTCCTCATAACCAGCAAACAAGCAGAACTGGAGGCATGGCTGAGGAGGTGGAGTACCAGCTATGAGCAGGAAAAACTAAGCAGGACAAGGAAGCTCTAAGTTGGAGACCCAGTACTGACATTTAAATTAATTAATGAATAAGGAACTACTACCAAAACTGTTTTAAGTATGATGAAATATGCCTCCTCATCCTCCTTAGAATGAGCTTGCAAATTGTATTTCTCTATTAAAAAGTAAACTTTTAAGGAGGAAAAGAATACATTATTATTAGTTACCTATTTTGGTCTAATTCTAGAAACAAAATTAAAAATCAAGGAATTAGCAGATAGAATCGTGAGTTGAGCTGTGAAGGCCTGGGCACTGTCCCTGAGCTTTTTCGCTCAAGGCTAGCACTCAACCACTTGAACCACAGCTCCATTTCTGGCCTCCTCCTTCCTTCCTTCTTCTTTTGGTTGTTAATTGGAGATGAGTCTCACAGACTTTCCTGCTTGGGCTGGCTTTAAATCATAATCCTCAGATCTCAGCTTCCTGAGTAGTGATGATTATAAGCAGGAGCCACTGGCGTTCGGTGAGGTAAGCATTATGTGACCTGGGTTTTTTGTTGTTGTTGTTGTTGTTTTGGTTGGTTCTGGAGCTTGAACTCAGCCTGGGTGCTGTCCCTCAGCTCTTCAGCTCAAAGCAAGCGCTCTACCACTTGAGCTACAGCGCCACTTCCAGTTTTCTGTTTATTAGAGATAAGAGTTTCACAGACTTTCCTGCCCAGGCTGGCTTTGAACCACAATCCTCAGATCTCAGCCTCCTGAGTAGCTAGGTTTACAGGCGTGAGCCACTAGCGCCCAGCTGTGACCTGGTTTTTGTGATGAATGATTAGTAAGTGTGGCCAGCACTGGTTTGATGGCTTAGGCTTCTACTTGCTGTCTCAGTTTTGTTTTTTGGGGGTCCGGTCGTGGGGTCTGAACTCTGGGCCTGGGCGCTGTTCCTCAGCTCTTCAGCTCAAGGCTAGCGCTCTACCACTTGAGCCACAGCGCCACTTCTGGCTTTTTTCTTTTTGCTTATGTGGTGCTGGGGAATCGAACCCAGGGCCTCAGGCATGCAAGGCAAGCGCTCTACCACGGAGCCACCTTCCCAGCCCCTGCTGACTCAGTTTTGGTGGCGGTTTTCATCATAGCTACATCTCCAGAGTGAAAGAAACACAATGCCTAGACACACAAGAGGCGCTGAGACCCACACTATCTCTTGGTGCCTAGCCCTGGGCAGCTCACCCATCAGCCTGTTTCCAGCATGTTCCGTGTGGAAATGCATGTGCCAGGCTTGCACATACATTCCCTGAAAGTGGTAGCTGCAGTCTGAGTCCCGATGCTGCTTCTAGTGCACTGTGAGCACCACAGCCCTTCTCATTCTTGCTCCGCCCCTGCCCCGCTCATTTCCAGGCCTTTCCGTGGACAGCCCTCAGCCTTCACCCTCAAGCCAGAGGAGCCTGCAGAGCCTGAGCCCCGCGCGCCAGGCGGGCCTGGGCCCGGCCGAGCAGGCCTTGTCCCCTGTTGTGAGCCCTGTCCTTAGCAGTGCTGGTGGAAGGTGCATGGATGACCAAGAGGAGCTGAGACACAAGGTGAGCCTCTTGGGCCGAGGGGTTTGCCTCGGCTCATCCCCAGCAAACTACTGCGAGAAGTGGACCTTCGGGTTCTCCTGGGCCTCAAGAGGCTTCTTGTTAACAGGAAGAGGACAGACAGCTGCAACCCGGGGAAGCCGGCCTCCTCCCCCTCTTCTTACCTCCTCCCCCAGCTCCTGCCTCCTCCCCCTCCTCTTACCTCCCCCCTCCCCCTGCCCTGCTCCTCCCCTTCTTCTTACCTCTTCCCCCTCCCCTCCCCCTCTTCTTGCCTCCTCCCCCTCTCCTTGCTCTGGCCTCCCTCCTTGCTTCCATCCTGACCATTTAGTGACTTGGAAAAGACTGTGAACAACTAGGGGATTGGGGGTGGGGGGGTCAGGAGGTTCTCAGATGGGAGACCCAAGAGCAGTGGGGCTCTGGCCGAAAGCTGGAGAGGGGGAGGAGCCTGCAGCAGAGCCAGTCCTGTGTTTTGTGGCAGGAGTGAGTTCTTGGCGGGGGAGCAGCAGGGCTGTGGCTGTGCGTGTCTGCAGTGTGAGCGTGAGTGAGCCGCTGGCTGGCTCGTGTGTACGGGAGACGTGCAGTGGACTCCTGTCTCGTGGCAGGTGATACAATCTACAGGGCCCACCTGAGGCCACAGCTGGGCAGAAGGAGCACGAGAAAGGTCTAGAGAGGCCCAGCTTAAAATGAGCTCCAGCTGTGCCTAGGGACATGGTGGGCGTATCAGCCCAAAGAGAGGGCCTGGGGCCTGCTCGGTGGGCCTGTCGCAGAAGAGGCCTGTGCTCCTCAGCGCCGTGCTTGTCCGCTTCCTGTGCCTGTCACTGAGATGATGAGCAACTCTTCCAACAGGGAAGGCGGTCACATCCGTGGCCCGTTGGCCCTGCTGTGTTGGGCCTGAGTGTCAATCTTGGTGGAGGTCATGGCTAGGCCAGGGTTAGGAGCCTCACCCCTGTGGGAGCATGTCCCCAGTGACCTCAAGGGGTCCCCCTTGCTCCACCCAAGCCTTAGTACATGAAGAACATTCCAGATCAAGCTGTAACAGTGAATTAACTGAAGGAAGTATACCCGGTCTGAGACCACGGTTCCCGGATGGACGCGCCCCTGGGGCCCTTGAGGGTGTGAGGCAGGTAGGACGGTGCTCACCTACAAGGCATGAGGCTGGGTGTCCCTTCCCTGAGTGCCTGCCCTGAGCAGCCCCGGAACCAGAAGATCCGGCGTCGGGCCCCAGGAGGCCGAGGCCTGGGGCTGGCACACACCCTCCGCAGACCACAGGCCCCTGCTGATGCCCTGTGCTTGTCTTGTAGACATTTATTTTGGAAATTTAATTTCTTCAGTACAAAAACAAAAACGGCTTAGAGGAAATCTGTCCTTAAAAGTCACTTTTTTCTAGGTGCGTTTCTCCAGGGCTTTAAGTCAGGGCCTTTTTTGCTTAAAGCTAGCTCTCTACCTCTTGTGCCTCAGCTCCACTTCTGCCTTTTTTTTTTTTTTTTTTTTTTGCCAGTGCTGGAGCCTGAACTCTGGGCCTGGGCACTGTCCCTCAGCTCTTCAGCTCAAGGC